CAATGACATTAACCATTATTACTTTGATCTGAGGAGCAAATATTTAAAAAAATATAAAACAAAATATTTAAAAATAGAACTCACATATTATATGGAACATGAACATTTCTTGTTTCCAAATGCCGCCAACGACCAAGATGTAGAGCAGATCTATGTAAAATATCACAATAACGAGGTGGGAAGCAGTGGACAATATACAAAGTGAAAGCCCCAAGCCACACAAAAGCAACATGCTGAACAACCCACAAAAGATCGTAATGTATGGCACCCTGGAGGAAAAAAAAATCATATGTCTGTAGTGATATTAATATGTTAATACCATTTACTCAATGTGATCTACATAATAAACGTTTGTGAAGCTGTCATCTCTTCTAGTCACAAAGGTAAAAAAAATTCACTTCTTACACATTTAAAATTTTCTTTACACTTCTAACACACATGAACTGAACATTAGCCTCAAAAGTAGATGATGTAAACACTCAGCAGAGCTGATGCTCAGAATATATCACAGTGAAGTTTCATGCTAGAAAACTTAGCAGCTGACAGCTACTTGTGCTGATGTTAGAATACCTAAACATAGATCGTGCAGAATTCTGCTCAGAATGTCTCTGCACTAAAAATCACTTCATTTTAAATACTGCATTACTAAAAAATTAAAATATCTTGTTGTAAAATATACTGAATGAAGGTTATTGTAAGTAACAAAAACAATGATAAAAAATATGTGGAAAAAGCTTTAAATATCAGAATGCAAACAATTTTTACAAATATGATGCAAAAGTCAGTAAAAAAGTTTTATACAAGGTTGCTTAACCCGTCCTAGAACAGAGAGGTGTCACTAATATACCTACATTTCTTTAGCTCTCACAATGGAATTTCTTTAACAAATTGTATGAAACTTAGTAAAAACATACTATATAGTATCTATTTTGTGCATGAAAAATTAATATATAATTTGATTTATGTTTTCTATCATCTTTTTTAGGAGAAGCTGTTTTGTGAGAAAATAAAAAATACTTTATTTCTTTTAACAACTTCTATTGTTGATCAGTTCCACTTCAGATAACATATTTCTTATGATATTTTATTGACTGCAGTAGTCAACATTTCCAGTTATAAACAGTAAAAAAAACATGAATAAAACTAACAAGAATTTTTGGTGACCTACGACTGACCTATCAAATAGCATCACCATTACTTCTATCACCCTAGGTAACTATAGTTTTGCTACAATTTTTTGGTCAAGATCAATTATACCTAATACATGTAGTTTATTTTCAATAGTTAAACATTTGTTTTATTCATACAAGTTCATTGAATATGATAATCTTAACAATAACATTTAATAAATAAGGACTTGAGTCATCAAGATATTTGCCCTCACCTACCATAATTGCTAAACCTAACAAGCCTTATCTCATGTCTTGTCACAGAAGAAAATTTCTATAGCTTTCAAACAGATATAATTTAACATGAAAACATTTTATGGAATGAAAAGAACATCTGGAGAAACTATTACAACATTCTAGAGCTTTAGTTTGTTACTGGTCTTCTAAACTCCACATTAGATACCTCCGTTCATCAATGATCGGAGCCTCATTTAGTCACTTTCCCACAAAACCATAAACTGCCTTGGATAGATGGACTACTTTTACCACTGATCGCCGTGTTCATCGATTTTGACCTATTACAACATACAGAATTATACCCCCACACCATCTTGGAAATTTTAACTCACCATATACACACATATTTATGAGCTGAGTAAATGAATATTATGCATAAAAAAGGGTAGTTACATACTCTTTCCAAAAGGTAAACATTTTTGGTGGCATCACACTACCTATAAAACAACGTCAAATTGTAATTCTGATACTTTCTGTTCTACTGTGACTTTATGTCAGGTGTGGATTTCTCATGACTTACTGATTTGCATATTAAAAATATTTTTAAGCATAATGTTCCCAACCCTTCCATAGGTATGTTGTGGCAGTCAGTTTCTAAAAGAATACCATTTTTAGCAAAAATTCTGGTGAAATGTGTATCCATTTCTGCTCATGCATAAAGAAGTTTCTCTGTTCAGAAACTATTTCTCAAAGAAAGAAAAAAGGGTCTAATAGAAAACAATATCAGGAAAATGGCCTTTTCTAACAGATTATTTGCTGCTCTTGTGAATAACACTAATACTTCAAAATGTGTTGCTTAATTGAAAATTCTTAAATTGTTTAATTGTCAATTCTTAAAAAGAATGGTTAAAATATGTTAGAAACAAAATTTCTGAAGTTATATATAATCATGTAAATTATTTATAATAAATCCCCTCCAAACCAGTTCATCATTTTGTTTTCTTCTGCATAACTAATATATAATTTTCCATTTCTTGCTATGTAAATCACAAATCCTTTCTGTGTAATTTCAAAAAACAAATTAATTGGGAGAGTTTATGACGTACGACATACATATACTGCTAAAGAAAAAAAGCAACTGGGAGGACTCGCATTACATTGTTTACAGTGGAAAAAGCATTTAAACTATGTCAACTACATTCTGTTGTTTGGTTGCACATTTCAAGCCACAGTTAAAGATTTAAGTTTTGTATGATGAAGAAAGAATTGTCCACAGTAGTAGTATTCAAACAATCTCACCACTAATTTTACAGATGCAAGTTTAATAATCAAGTAGATCACACATTATTGAAGTGGTGAGTGAACTTTAGAACACTAATAATCCTGCTGGAGTGCAAATTCCCTGTACACCACAGACTGGCCAGGCAGAATAGAAATGTAGACAGCATTCTTGCAAAGTTATTTGTTTGTAGAATATCCAGACTTATCCCCACTTATCTCTAGGTGAATGTCAACGTCACTTCCGGTTCTTTGTCTAAACGTATATATAAACCCTGCTACAAAAACATTTCAGTCTGTACCTGATGATGCCTTTACTGGCAAAACCATGGTTATAATAAATTATGTGTTTGTGAAGCATGCAATTGTCTTGTTTTTCCTCAATCAAATTTTCATCTAAGTAAGTACGTGACTTTTCCATACGAGCATACAAAACAAATGGTGAACCTTGTCACTCTAATTTTTTCACAGAACTCTTCCATCTTGGATCCCAATGTTTCGTTTCTTATACCAAAAAGGATACTAACACATATTTATATAAAATGGATGATGTGCTACTTTGGATATATAATTAAATTTTATAGTAGGTTGGTCAAGATCCTGATCAGTAATAAAATCGAATCAAGTATACACATGTCCCATGCTTGGTACATAAATATATAGCTAATAAAAAGGAAACAAATGAGAATAATAAAAAAAAAGAAATAATTTTATAAAGACAAGTAGAGATCGATATATATGCAATCTAGCTAGTTACAATAATAAAGAAAGTTCTAATGCTGCAAAAAATATTGATACAAGAAAGATAAACAGTAACAATTTATCCATACATTTGCTCAGACTAATATAATTACAATGATTTGCCAAAGTATGGAGTGTGTTTTAAATTTTATGTACCTAAGTTTTTGTAGTTTTGACCTTGTTTCAATACTTTTTGTAGCATTACTTTCTATATTACTATAGATAGCTAGCTGACATATATATCGATCCCTACTTGTCTTTATAAAAGTTAATTTTTTACTATATTTGTTCAGTTTTGAAACTTTTCATGCTTCAAACATATAATGAGAAAGAAAAATGCTCATAATTATTTATTTTCAGACTTTATATTATAAAAATGAAAGTAACTATGAAAATTCTTTCGGACCATATTACAAAAGTTCACAAGAAATATGATTTTATGTAATTTCAAGGTTACAAACAAAAGACTATTTTGTTAAGGCAACAACAATATGACTAGTACAAAATAATCGTAGTTTGTAACTTTACAATACTTTAACAAATTGGCAAGTTATTAATGAAAGTTTACTTTCACTCATACATTATGACTCATTTACTTAGGCCTTTCCACTTACATCAAGTTTATTCTACTAACATTAAGTCATGTACCACTTCAAATTACAAATCTCACACTTCACACACATAACTGAGTACCAGCCCCAATAATCAGTCATGTAAACACTCAGAAGAGTGGACAATTTAAGAGTCATTAACTACCGACAACTTAAGCCTAGAAGATTTAGCATCTGGTAGCTACTTCACCAACATTAGAATGCTTAAGTGAAGGTTTAGAATGTTTTTGTACTAAAATTCACTTGACATTAACCTTAAATATTACATTGATAACAATGTATTGTTGCAAAGTACTGGATCAAGAGGTCATATATAGCACACAATAGAGAGAGAAAAAAAAATGCTGATATTGGACATTAACATTATATGCTTAAATATCAGAATGCAAAAACCTGAAGAATGCCTGAAGAAAACCCATGAAGAATGACATCCTATACTGTGAAAAGTATAGGGGCACACCCATGGTAAACCACCCCCTTCTGTATCAGGATATACATTTTGCCTGTAGTGAAGATATATGTCACTAAATTGAGTGGAAAAGAAGCACTGTCTAAAATTATAGAATTAAAAATGGATGTGCCATATGGTGTAACATGGCTAGAGCACGTCAAACCATACATGGCAGGTCAACTACAATCCAAAACATGGTGACATTGGGTATGTTTCATCCGGTTTGCAGTAGGAGGAGGGTCCCAACCATTTTCACCTCTACACCAGGAAGTAGATGGGAAAAGGAATTTCCTTTCTACCATCCAAAGTAGTGCACATGCATGTTGTCCCTACACACATCTAATACTAGGCCATCTGGGAACCCGACTTCCAAGCAACAATAGGATGGGGGAAAGTAAATATGGTTATTCAACTCCACTCCAAAACCAGGCAGCATCAGGAATTATTCATCAGGTCTGTAGTAGAAGGATGGTCCCTACTAACCACATGAATGAGGACTTAAGTTGGTTGGTCCTGTGCCAATCCAACACCAGACTGCCCAAGAACTGACATCCAGACAAGGGTAGAATGGAGGAAAGCCAGCTGGAGAGATAAATTGTACTTGTTGGATCAACTCCAGTACAAAACCAGGCAGCATTGGGAATTTTACATCTGTTCTGCAGTAGGAGTGTCCTCACCAACAGAACACTACCACCTTACTCTCTAATGAGTGAAATTGGTCACACTCAGGAGGAAGCTCCCATGGTTTACCACCCCAGTGGCTAGGAACTGGTGAGTGGGAAGGACTCCTATACTCCACTAGAAGAAAGAGGGGTGAAAGTGCATTGGGGAGCACAGAAGAA